CCAGCTTCGGTTTTATCGCGGCTCGTCGAGCGCGCTGGTAGTTAGCCGTGAATTCTGCCCGGAAGTAGGCGAACGTAGAAACACACGGTCCATAGAAATAAAGAAATCGAAGCAAAAATCGCAAACGTTCGACGAGCGTGTGTCCGATATCGAGAATCAACGATATCGAATTAACGTGCCGGCAAACGATCGCGTAACGACGGTGCGATCGCACTTGCTTTTGTTCGCGAGACGTAGGCGAGTACGTGGGCTGAACGACGATTTGACGAACGTTATTGCGCCGAGCGAGATTTACGAGCCAGCCGATGTGAATTGGGTCCCGTTCGTTACGCGATCAACGGGAAAATATGATGAGAAAAAGCGTCGGTGGAGGTGGAGTTAACACGTGGCTGGAACGAGGGATACTCGTGCAAAGTACAAGAAGCGTTATTTGGTGTTATAGTGATATAGGGATTGTAAGTCAGGATGAGGCGCGTTATTGAAACGTTAAGGGGAAGTTACGTATAGGTACTCCTAGCGCCTTCGTACTTATCTCATGGAGTAAGTGGAGGGGCTGCATTCACTTAGGATGATCGTAAAATCCATTCTTAAGGCGGTTGGCCTGTTAAGCTTTCGAGTTACCGCCTAATCTCCACGCCTGTGACATCACCTTGCGGAATATCGGAGTACCCATAATCGAAAGCCTGCGACGTTTTTGAAAGTTATCCGAACCGGGTAACCGGGTTCCCGTTTGATGCAACGCAACGAACAGCTCCGCCGTAAGTTCCTTCCGATCTTTTAATTTCCGCGATCCATCTAATATTAACGTCTTCTGCGGCGACGCTATCGACGTGACGTATCGACGTGTTACGACTGAAAATCGATCTCCCAAGTTTCTCTTCGGTAATCAAGCAACTTTCCAACTTATTTCCCGGCTCTATCCCAGAAAAATCCTCGTTCGCCGAGAGTAATTAAAAGCAGAAAGGCTCCGGAGCGAAAGCGGGACTCGATGAAAAAGGTGTCCGGATGCGTCGACTCACGCTAGGCTATCTCCTCGCGCGGAAACTTTGCGAGGAAATTTCCGCAGACGGCCTTGAGTTCGGGAAGCGGCGTGGCGCGGCGTAGCTGGCGATTCGCCTGAGCCGGTCGTTACAAGATCCTCGTGGATCGATTCCCTTTGGAACGCGTCAAAGGGGTTCGCGGAGGGATGGCGGTGTGGCGGTACGACGGCCAGGGAGGAGGATCGGTAGGCTAACCGGCCGCAAAAACGTAACGAGATGAAAGAAGAGCGCGAAAGACGGACCGACTCATGAACGAGGTGGAATACATAAATAGAAATCTCGGTTTATCCCTCTCCATCGGCCCATGCTTCCAGCTCTCTCTCTCTCTCTCTCTCTTTCTTTCTTTCTCTCCGCCCGACCCTCTTCCTTCCCCCTATTTCGCTCCTTTTCTCTCATTCTCCGTCGGTCGAATTCTCCTGGAAGCTTCTTCTCTCTCACGGTGGCATATATACGCGTCTACTAACCGGAGAGTAGCGGTAGTCTAGACGGAGTGTCGATTTTTGCCGCGGCACCAAATTAGAAACCCTTCTCTGCTGGATCCATGGCGTGCGCGTGGTTCCACCGCCTCTCCGTCTGCTCCTCTCGCGCCACCATTCTCCGCCTCTCTTTTTTTCTCGTTCCCCGTGACCGTCGCACCAGACTATCTCTCTCTCTCTCTTTTCTTCGTCCTTCCTTCCCCACTCGCCAGCTCTTCTTCTCTTCAGCCAACGTTTCTCTCGTTCACTATGTATCTCCGTATCTCGTGAACGCTCGCATGCGAAATCGCTTAAAGGGGATGAACAGACGACAAGCCTTAGCTGTCCGCTCTCGTGCAAATATTTTCGCTGCGACCTGTGCGGCTCCGGACCTTTCGGAGGCTGCCGCTTTTCGGTAATCGAAAAAAAGGGAGAGAAAAGGGTCGACAAACGATGCCAATGAAAATCTCATTTTCGCAACCGTCGGTCGTCATCTGGCACAAGAGTGGGTGTTGCGGAAAATGCTCGTCCTCTGAGAACGTTGCAATTGGAAAATTTCTAGTCGATCGATCTTTCGAATGTAAGATTGCCGATGGTAGGAAATAGAAAACGACGGGGAACAAGCTTACGGCGAAGCTTCGGCAAATTCAAGCTCCTGAATGCAAAACACCGCTGATCTTGTATTCATCCTCTGATATCGGCCGCGTGCATACATTTATGTAAACACGCGTACGGGGTGTACGAGAAGAAGCCGTGGAACCAAGGTATCGCGTAAAAGGTGCATAAAGGTCGACCGTAAAGGAAAAAAGTTGAAGTTAATGCAGGGGCCGCGCAAATTGTGTTCACCGCACTACTCTTCGCTTTCATTACCTTTAACTCCTCTCGGCCTTCCACCTGAGAGGGCAATTACCCCGTCCCTCGATCCGTTTCGGCGATCTCTCAATTCTTTCGTCACGCTTCGATCCGCCCTAAGAGCTGGCGAATTAAAACTTCTCGCTCCGCGAAATCTCGGTTGAACTCGCAGCAAAGAGCGAGCTTCTTTCTCTCTGAAAATCGGTCGTTCTCGATGCGAAATTCCTCGATTCGATTCCTACGGTACGTGGTAGATCGAATGGTGGATGGTGGAGCACGATCGCGACGCACAGATCGAAGAAGAACGTTCGTCGGATGAAATTGTGCGAGACAGGTTGTTAGCTGGATGGAGTTTCGCTGAGGAGACAACACGGCGAAATTAATAACAGCGTAGACGGACCAGAGAAAACATCGATCTCGCCGCAATTAAGGGATTATTCTCCGGATGTTCACGGCGCAACGGGCACGGATATTGCGTTCGATCCAATCGCGATTTGCGCACGCGTTTCGTTAATCATCGCTGCAGTTGAAATGCTGGAATTAGTGGAAAGTGGCGCTGTCCATTTTATCCTATCTCGGTTTCAAAATTGCGCCAGCCAAGCTTGAAAACCAATTCGAAATGACAGCTCCTCTAAGCCATCGTGGCATTCGATCGACGAAGGATTATGGCGCCAGCGCGTGGCATTCGCGTCATTTAACCGCCAAAAAGCTTACCGGCTCTTTCTTTCTGCGTCGCTTCGATTCACGTTTTCATCGAGGTTCTTAAGAACGTGGTGTGGAACTACCAAGACGAAAATTATCGAAACGAAGAGGAAAAAGGCCGGTGTCTGACATGTTCGGCCAGAGTCGAAGATCCACCCTTGAAATTCCGACTGCGAATTCCAGCCGACTGTGGATTTACGATCAAGCTCCTCTTCTCTTCGGTCCGTTAACTTTCCGAGTCGCAGTACGTGGACTCGCTAGATTGCGGCGTAATACAGGGCCATCGAGAAACTCCTCTGACAAGTGGAAGGAGACAAGGGACCATTCCAGAGTCGGTTGAATCGCTTCCAATTTAAGGAGCTATCTCAGGACGAACTCACGTTTTGCCTCGCGATCGGAAATGCCACGCTCCTCGCTGCTTCCCGGCGATTCGACCTTGCCAGCTTCTGCATTTCTATCTCAAGCCAACAACTGCCTGTTCTCGAATTTACCGGACTCCGTTGTCCCTGCTCTCTTGCTCCACTCTTTCGAATTTCCAACGCATCGACGTCTCGAGGCAGCTGCAAACCAACATCGTTGGTCGAAGCGGAGTATTTGCAGTTTAGTAGTTTTCCTATTCGATATTCGTTCCCGAAGGAGCACGGATCGCGCGTAAAGTTGGCGGCAACGATTTTCCTAAGCGGCTTTCATACGTTTCGACGCGTAGCTTAGGAAATAATCTGGAATTCGAGATAAAACAGAGGAGAAACGTGACGTGGGTAGAACACGTCCGGAACCGCATCGATCGTTATCGATATATTTGCGTTACGAGGGAATTTCGCCGGCAGTAATCCGCAGTGTTTGAAAAGTTATTAAATTTGCCGGCGTCTCGAGGGCAAGTTCGAAAGCTCCCCGGCAGAAGTTTCGGCTTCTTCATACGGAAAAACGAGTTTTCCCGGATAGAGAAGTCCAGAAATTTCAGACCGCTCTAAACCCCATGGAAGCTCGCAGGCAAGTGTATTTGGATCCTTGGGAGCGCAGGCAAAACTTCCTGTTTGCCCGAACTTTGCGCAATCTTCTCCCGGGACTCGAAGAAAGGTACGCGAGCTCGGTCCACGCCACCTCGATATTCGTGTACTTGTTGGAAAGATAATAAACGAACTAATCCGCTATCTGGCCGCGTTTCCATTGAATATTACCAGAGCAAACGATTATCGCAAATCCCCGTGTCGATGGTGTAAACTTTGCTTTTATATAGGCACAAGGTCTTGAAAGTCTAATGAATATCACGTTATCTGTTCGCAGGCGGAGATCGAAAGTGGTGATATCCTCCGCGAAACCCGAGGACAGCGGCAGATACGAGTGCGTAGCGGAGAGTACTTCCGGTCATCGAGCCTCACTCGCGGCCCAGCTTCTAGTCGCTCACGATACGAGAGTTTCGGAAACCAGTGAGTATCACCGATCCTTCCGTGTACGCGTACATATCGTACGGTTGTATCTTTGTAACAAACGAGAGGCTAACCGAGGATGGAGTATCTACTTATTCCGTGATACAAATCCATGTCTGTCTCTATCTATCTCATTAATAAAAATACTCCAGAAACACGATACTCTGGCGTCCTTAAAAACACGACAGCTTCGTTATTCGAGCGTCGATCGTCGATACAAAAACGGGAGGAGGAACGTTCGCGAACAAAGAGAACGCGGGACGCGTTTTGTTCGATGCCGGCTGGATTTCCGGTGATCGATCGATCGATCGGTGAACACCTGCCGGCACATCACGACGCGCTTCAGTTTTCACTCGTTGTCGTCATAACTCCGATGGTGCGTGCACCCGCAGCGGAATCTCCATTGAATCCTCGAAAAAATAGAGGCGCGCGTTTTGTACGCGTAACGGGATGCGACTTCACGATACACTGCTCTGCAACCTGCGACATTTCGATGACCCTATTGTCGCCATGAAAATCATTCTTTTCCCTTCTTTTTTGTTTCATTCATGATCGCGTGACGTTCTGAAAGGGAATACCGCGCAATAAACGGCGAATATAAAAACATCTTTCGATCCCTTTTCGGGTAAGTTAAACACGATGCAAACGGAAATCATAAATGTACGATTGGAAAGGTGATTAATTTTTCATTTATCTCGCAATACGATGGAAGATATACGTATGAAAGGGAAGTGTAGGTAGAAAACTCGGTCAGGACGTCTGGAACGAAACGATAATCGATCGTCCACGGAGGATGCGAGTATCGGCTCACTGGCACGGTGGTGTAGCCATTTACGGTCGACGTCTCGCGTAAAGATGCGACCAACCACGTTGTGCATAAACGTCTGAAACAGTTCGCATTGGCGCTTATCGATCGACAGCCGGCTAGACCTCGAGCAGAAGGCCACCGCGCGGAACCTTAGTTTATGGGTTTTCATAATACCTGCAACATTTGGTAGACGTTTTTCGCCAGGGTATTTATGCCAACTGAGAAATGCAGCCGTGGCGGTAACAGCTAGACCGGGAAAAACGCGGAGCTCGACCGCGGTGAAATTCGTACTGCAAACGCGTAACTCAGTTTACAGTGTGCTGTAATTTCCAGCACGATACGGGATCAATTCGAAGGAATTGCTGGTGTTCGAGTGAGAAATTCCTCGCCGAAAATACCGAACGTAAAGCGAAACGGACCGAGACCCGCGCACAAAGGGTCGTTCGTACGTATGGAATACTCGAAAGTTAGCTGTGGCACCGAAGAAACGATAATCGTTGAAAAATTGGTTAAATATCGAGACAGCAAGAGGAACGATATGGAGAATAGCGATGAGAGGAAAGATCCATTCCAGAAGTGGGCCGATAGACGCAGGTGATAAAGTTAGGATTAAGCACCTGATGCGATAATGCCCGCGCAGCCGGCGCTCGGTTCCAGCAAGGCCGGGAAAGCTTGCGGTTCACCGCCACCGAGGCACTGCGAGCTCGTATGACGGACAAAGGGCGACAATTACAACCCTGCCAGCCACGTCAGGGTTTCATATAGCTCTGAACTGCTGATGGCGGGTCAGCTACCCGTTTTGGTGTACACTCGCGTACATTCGACCGGCTCGTAAATCCCGCAACGATGGAACGTTGTCCTGATTCTCGCGGAATTTACCCGCATTTTCCCTCCACTACGCTTCGAGCAACGAAACGAGCGGCGATACGAACGATCGAATCGACGAAAGAATCGATCGAAGGAAGCGATCGCGATCGTTTCGTCCCGAAGACGCCGGTGAACTCGATGGAAAGAACGTGCCCTGGCAAACAATCACTCGACACGTTTTCCTCGACCGGCCCTTTTATTCTTACGGTCGGTAGCACGCTCGAGGGCATTTGGACGACGCGCCGCGGCCGTGACTTCTGTTTCCTTACTGGTTAGCTGCTCGATTGCGGTAACAGATTGTGGTAATGTTTATAAGCCTAGAGTTACTCGAAAGAGCGAACAGCGCGCTAGTCTAGACTGCAATAACATTTACCACAAACTTTTACTACGACTCGAATGTTCGTGCCTTACTCGAGGCCCGAGCGCTCTCTCCACTGCACAATGTTTTAACAATTGCCGTTGCAGTCGCAATGGCACGCTTTACTACTACGGAGGTGTAACTTGATACAATAACGCGCGCGTTCCGCGTCGTTTAGTCGGAAAGAGCCGACTCGCGCCAGCCATCGGTGTTGTAGCCGCAGATCGGCGAAATTATGCATCGCAAGGCGTTCTCTATCTAACGAACCTCCGAGGAACCGTTGGAGTTCCATCGTTTGCCTTGTTAGCTGTTCCGGTTTATCGATATCGCGGTTAGAAGCTTTGACGAGTTTCGAGCACTTGGGAAAAGTCGTCGTCGTAGTCGTCGAGGGGACGAAATAAACGTTGCGGATCACACGTCGCCACCCGAATCGCGCAAAAGCCAAGGTTTCGTGCTTAAGTTCCGCGAGAGAAATCCTCGACCGGTCAAATACCCGGGGCGGAGGGTGAGCCGAGGCCAGAGAAAAGGAACGAGTTTCTTTTGCACGGTGCGCGAATGCTCGCGTCAGCGTAGCCAGAAACCGTGAAATTGTAAAAACCAAGACAGCGGCCCGGGCAATTTATCCGCGCGTACGATTTCACCGACCACGAGAATCGGTGGAAGAAAGCGCGCTTTCGGCGTCGGACAAAGAGTCGTTTCCCGGTCCAGCCTCCGATATCCTCGAGAACGGCCCTGAGCGGCAGCGGATGTGGCTCGAACATCGATCGTTTCAAAGTTCTC